CCCTCCCCCTTACCCCTAGACATCTGCCAGGGGAGACCACAAACACCCACTGCGGCCCAACAGCAGAGAGGCAAGAAAGCCGCAGGGGAGGGGGAGCCGCCCACAAGCCTCTAATCGCGGCAATTAGGGAAAGCTAACAAGAAACAAGGTTTTACCTTCGGCAGCTTCTGTAAGGCAAAGGACCAGCATGCAGCATGCAAAGAAAAACAGCGTGTTAGCAAACAGTCATCAGCTGAGCCCGCTGGGCCCAGGGGAGGGACCGTGGAGGGCGGGGCTTTGTGAGGATGAGCAGGAGAGAAAACACAACCCCATTCAGACTCAGAAACACGAAAACACACACGTGAGCACACACTCACAGCATCAAGAGTCTGTGGATGTGATCACACTGACACACACAGAAAGAGACCCACGAGACCCACAAAGACTTTCTACCACATACACGCACACACACCCCTAGAAAGTACTGGAAGCTCTGAGGAGGTAACAGACTGCTCAACAAGGTCCACGTGCTGATGCACCGAGCTTTCCCCTTGCAGTCAGCGCTGAGCAGGGTTACAGGAAACCTGGAGGCTGTCACCTCAGAGTGAAAGAACTTCCTCAAGACATAGCCACACGCCCACCCACCTGCCCACCAACACAGTCTGGAGACAACTTCTTTAATTCAGAGCCTGCTTCCTCTTTGGCAGGAATGCCACCTGCTGGGATCATAAGGAGACTAACACCCAGACACCTGTTCCTGCATGCACCCACCCTGCCATCCACCCACCGGTGCTTCCTCACTTCTGCTAAGCAGCCTGGGGCCCTTCACATCCCAGAGGAAGATGAAGCCAAAGCCTGAGATGCTGTTCAAAGGCAGCATCCCTTTTCCTAAACTGAAGGAGAAAAGGGTGAAGAGGCGCTGGGAGCACCAGCCCATCAGTGTAATCTCAGAGGAAGGCAAAGGAGCTCCTCCAAGCCACACCAAGCTCTTGCCATTCGCAAGACCCCAGGCACAAATGCTGAAGCTGCAGTCCATTCAATACCGCGGTGCCTGCTGCCCTCTAGTGGCCTCCACCCTGACATGCAAGAGGAAGAGGCACCTACTACCAAACCAGTGGAGAGAAGGGAAGATCCAGGGAAAACTGGCCTTGGGGAACCCCAGGAGTAACACACCCTCCCCCACCTAAGCCCCATAGAGGGCATCCTGAGATGGATACAAAACAGGTAGAAGCACCTATTTCTGGAACTCCAGAGACGCCCCACTGCCAGCAGGTAACCTCTCCACCCTCAATCCTGGGGCTTCTCCCAGGCCAGTGCCCTCTGCTATGATAGACCAAGCCCAGCCCCTAGAGAGAGCCCAGGGCAAGCACCAAGATGGGGCAAGGTGGCCCCTACACCCCAGGAAGGGGTCAAGGTCAGTTACCCGCTTGCTCCTCGAGAGCCTCTGTCAGGAAGGGAACAAGAAGGAGGGTTATTCCAGGGGGACAGCTCTGAATTAGTGCCCTTCTCTTTCTCCTCAGCCTCCAAACCCCCAACCCCCTCCTCCCACTCTTCACAATGCTCCCAGTCACCGCCACTCAGTCCCGGCCTCTGGCCATCACTGGCAGAGACACTTCTCCAGGCATGTGGAGCCTGCAGCTCTGATGAGGGGGACTGGGAAGCAGCACAAGCAAAAGAGGGGAGTCTGACAACAGAGGAGTCCGTGCTGGGCGAGGACAAATGGGAGTGGGCAGGACCCCCAAGATGACCAGCCAGGCTGTGGGGACCCACTGCAGGTTACCTTTGGTGGCGCCAGCAGCCCCCAGGTGGTAGATGGCAGCCAGGATGAGCCAGCAGGCTTTCTGTTCATCGGGGGAGATGCCCAGCACCTTCATGGCTGCCTGTAGCTTACTGAACTGTTGAGCTGCCTTCTGCTTCTCCTCCGGCTGCAGGGACAGATGGGCACACTGGCACCAGATCTCAGAGGGGCTCTCCCTTCCTGCTGGACCCTCAGGGAGGCCAAGGCTAGGCTAGAGCTCCCCAGCCGGAGCTAGGCTCCTGCTACTCCCAGGGGGCACTCAGGGCCATCTGAAGCTTCTCCTACCCCCAGGCCCAGGGGTGCCAACCCTCTCCCCACAGGCCCCTCACCTTGGCCAGTGGCACAATCCCAAACACGTTGTTCTCTGCCAAGTGGTTCAAGTGGAGCTCTGTCCTAGGGGTACAAACGAGGCATCAGCTCCGTGCTTGGTCGCCATGCCAAGGCCCTCTCCCTACCAGGCTGGAGGCAGATACTCAGCTTCCAGATCCAGTTCTGTCTGTCCATCATGCCCTCCTGTCAGGCCAGCTGCTGCTGCCTTTCCTAATTGGCCTAGACACTTGGTTGGACCTAGGATAGGTCACCAGAAATGCCCTGGTGAGTGTCCAGCTAGACCCCTGGACGGGAGCAGGGAAACTGCCTGAAGGTGGAGTCCAGCCAGGACAGAGACTGTGCCCTTATTACAAGAAGAGCTAAAGAGGATAGTGCCCTGGGCTGCTTGCTCAGCCTTATCATTTATCCTTTATTTCAGTGAACACAGACAGCAAGTCTGAAGGTCTAAAGGGAAGAGCCTGGCGGAGGAGCCAATGTGGAGGCAGGGAGGCCAGCGTGGAGGGCACCGGAAATGGCTTGGGCTTTTGGCCCCTGTGTGGGTTCAAACATCAGCTCAGTCCCACATTAGCCATGTAACTGCAGGCAAGTCCCTGACCCCCAGATCTCCAGAACTGGCTTCATGTGCAGCAGCGATCCTAGCTAGGCCTTGGGTATACTGAAGGGTCACTGGTGCCCCTCACATATAGCCAAGACTCATGCCCAGGACCAGGGAGCTCCTGCTAGGCAGGGCCTTTGGCTCATTCATCTCGCCATCCCCAGGGCCTAGCTCAAAGCCTAACCCGTGGCAGGCATGCAATAAACAGCCAGCGTGGGATGCGGTCAAGTGGCAAGGCCTGGGAGCCGCCAGTGCGCGGGAGTCCAGGGCATCCTCCCTGTTCCCTCTGTCCCATCTCACCTGAGGGTGCCATCCCCACAGGCTAGCAGGTAGTAGAAGATGTTGAATGTGGCCTCACCAGCCGGACGCCGAGCCACACGCAGCTTCTCCAGAAGCATCGTCTGCGGCACAGGATAGAGGGTATGTGGGCAAGGAGGGCGGTGCTGGGACAGCTCCTCCCTCCCACACCAGAAAGAGCCAGGCCCAAGGGAACCAGCAGCTGCATCTTATTCTCAAGGTGCTCAACCAGAGGCCAGATCGCCTCACGGTCAAACCTGGGGCAGGAACCAGAGCTGGGGAGGAAAACACAGACCCTGCCACCCTGCCCAGCCCCCAGGCACAGCACAAAGTTGTGGTGAGATATTCCATTTAGCACGGAAGGAATCAGCCTCAGCCAGGCCTTACTCTACTGACAGACCAGTCCTCCCTGGGTCAATCAGCCTGAGAGAAGTCCCTGAGCAGGGGCCAGGGCCCCAACTAGGGTGCGGGCAACCCCAGGATGGGCAGGAAGCTGAGCTGTGCCCCGTGCAAGGCAGGAGGCATGTGGTGGGGGGTGGGGGTGGGAAGGGACAGAGTGTGAAGGCTAGGGCAAAGCAGGCCAGCCCTGCTGGTGCCAGGATCCATTTTGTTGGGGCAGAATCCCAGGAAATTGAGGCACAGGGGAGAGCCTGATTTCTAGGGCATGAAATCAGGCGGCCAATCTCCTACTCTCCTGAGTGTCCCTTCACCTGGATGGAGGCTGAGGCCACCTGGCCGGCTTGGTCAAAGTCCAGGGAAAGGATCTCGGAGAAGCGGGTGGCGTTGCCGTTCATGACGGTGGGGCTGTTCCCAAAGGCTTCCAGGAGAGTGTACAGAGCCTGCCACTTGTCCACTGCAGAAGACAGGCCCAGGGGCCATCAGGAAAGCCAGGGGCAGCTCACCCCCAGCCACAGGCTCCAGAGGCCCAGCCCATGTCTGTTCTCCCAGCACCTGAAAGCCCGGAGTTAATCAGACCAGAACTATCAGGGATAGAGGGGTTTTGAGGACATGGAAAGGCCAGAGAGAAAAAGAGCTGGCACCTAGGTGAGGGCTCCATCCCCAGCCCCACCTCCAGCCCATTCTGTTTTCCCAGTTGCCCTTGCCTCACCAGAAAACACCTTGTTCCCACTGGTGCCTGCAATGGTGGCCAAATACTGCACCAGGTGCTGGCAGCTGGTGGTCTTGCCACTGCCACTACTGCCCAGGAGGATGATGGACTAGTCCTGACGGCTCATCAGCATTGCCCTGTACGCAGTCTGCACCACGGCATAGATGTGGGGGGCCATGTCCTCCCGTCGACACCCCTTGAACATGTGCATCACCTTGGGCACAGGAGAGACAGAAGGAAGCGATGGAGGCTCTAAGCTGGTCCCGCCCAGACAGCCCTTATCCCCAAAGCCCCCATCTTTTTGGGTTTTCCACTCCAGAGGAGCTAGGGGGTTCTTAGTCTAAGGCCGTGCATGGAAATGCAGATGCCAGCCAAGTCCTGGCCTCTGTGAGAGGTCAGGGGAAGGCCTTCTGTTCCCACTCCTTGAAGTGACTCCTCTTCCCAAGGTCACTGTGAGTGGACAGGAGCCCCATGGGATGCCAAGGGGAAAGGGCAGAGCCCAGGAATGTGCAGTGGGTAAAGGGTGGGTGGATCTGTGGGGTTGCATGGCAGCCGAGGGGGTCCGCACCTTCTCAGAGTACACAGCTGGGGCCCCACGGGGGCTGAGGACAAGCAGGCTGGGGCCGGCGTATGTGTGCAGCAGGCTGGCGCCATAGCGCTGGCGCAGTGTGTGCAGGACACTGGACTCGTTGAGGTACACCAGTGAGGCCAGATCCTCTAGACGGTCGCAGGAGGGAGCATTAGCCTGTGTGACAGGACGAGGGTGGGGGGCAGTGAAGAGGCAGCTCCGGTCTGCTCTGCCATTGGACAGCCTGCCTGGCCCAGCCTACCCTCTGTGCCCTCCACCAGCCACCTACGAACCTTCTCCACGTCATCCTCGTCCACATCCAGGATGGCTCCGTCATGGTCTAGCTTCACACGCACCTTCCCCTCAGGCAAGCTGAGCTCCTCAGATTTGAGCTGACTGGCTGCACAGCAGGGACAGACAGACATACATGGACCTGGGCAGCCATGACAGCCCTCTTTGGGGCCCTTCATGGTCTTGCCTCCTTCCCACTGTATCATCAGCCTCTCCTTGCTCACCACCCAGCCCTCTCCAGACCCGGAGGCACACCCACTGCCCAGCCCTGAAACCAGAGAGGTCCAGGCATCTGCCCCCTGGGCCTCCCCAGACTCACCCAGGGAGAAGCCGTCCTTATGGACCAGCCACACCTTCTCTGTCTCATACCAGGCCTCCTCTGCTGCGATCTGCTCTTCTGTCTTCACCTGTCAGAGAGAGGGGAAGAATAAAGAGTCAGACCCTGTTCTGGAAAGCAGACAAGGACAACAGGAGAGAGGAAACACATGAAGGGAAGGACTTATGGATGAGCCACTGAGCGAGGGGGACAGGTGGGTGGTAGACACTGAACAGGAGACATCAGAGATATCGAGGAAGAAGGTGGGGAAGCCAGGAGGGAGTGGTGGTCCTGCAGAGCCCCGAGGACAGGGACACAGAGCTAGGGAACATGCCAGCCCCGAGGGTCTGGAAAGACAGGGACACATGAGGAATGTACCCAGAAAAGAGCAGCTCCCAGGAAAGCAAATCACTACCTCCTTCTTGTCCCTTCCCTGTGAAGCCTTCCCTGTGAAGGATGAGTCTCCTGAGCCCTTCGCCCGCACCCTGGGCCACAGCTACTATGACCCCTCGCGTCCAGCTTCTCCGTTCATCCACCTGATAGGCCCTCCCTCACTAAGCTGGGAAGGGGCATTTCCTCAAGATCTGAGAAGTGTCTACTGAGGATGTTAGTGCAAACTGATGGGTGGGTCCTGAGTCCTCACCTTGGCCCTGGCCTTCCCCTCCAGAGGATGCTCTCCCGGGCGGGGGCAGTGCCTAGGTGCACGAGCCAGCCCCCTGCTCCTCCTCAGGAGGAAACAGGTGCACAGACCCACATGGACATGCTAAGGCCACACAAGGACATGAAGCAGCAAGGCCAGGGACACAAGGTGGGGGCAGGGGAGACTTGTGCGCCACATGGATGGGCATGGAATGGGTACAAAGGGGCTGGGAGCCCCTGGCAACCCCAGCGATCACCAATCAGAAAGAAGCATTCACAGGCACTGTCAGGCTGTGGGGCTGCCAAACCTGGCACCCACTAAGAAGACCTGAGCTGGGCAAACAGGAGAGGGGCCCAGCTGCATGGCCCATCAGGCTCCTGTAGGGGAATGGTCACCCCCTGTGGCGTGAACAGCCAAAGCTCCAGCTATGAGGTACAATCACTCTCCTGGAGTCCCCCATTCTCATGAGTCCTGGGGCCAAGGCATAGACCCTGTTTTGCAATACTGACTCCTTGGGTGAGGGATTGTAAAGGGAAAGAAAAGATAATAAGTATGTTCTTTGTTACATTTCTTGGAGCTGAAAGAAAAAGATCTGGGTTCTACTCCCAGGTTGGATTCTGGCTTCAGGTGACCCCCTCCCTTGCTGATGGTCCTTCTTGGCTATAGAGCCAGAACGCTGGACTACACAGCAGTCTCCAGACTGCATATCATGGACCAGAGAAATTACCTGTCAAATAGGAGGAGGAGGACTATGGGGCTGTCAATGCTTTAATTTGCGTGAAGGTATCAAAAAAATGCTTTTTTCATACTTGAAAAAAATTAATTTTATAAAACAAAATTACTTTTTTTTCAAGTCATGAGACAGGTGAAAACTTCGTCTCGCATAGGCATGTTCTATGGATCAGGTATTTGCAGACTAATGAAAAGGTGACATCAAAGGATCATGGCCTATAATTAACTCCTTCAGAGCCAATCTGAAGATGGCTTCCCACATTGGCCAGCAGGTGGAGACAGAGGATGTGCATCGTCAGGCTTAAGAGTGGGCAGGGGGCGGGGGTGGGGGTTGGTAGAGATTCAGACTTTGCAGCTTTCTCTACCCAGAGAGCACAGAATTGAAACACCTAGAAACCAAAACTCTGGCCGGGCCCTTGGGCTTCAGTGGCTAAGAACCATGCACTGCAGAGGCCAAACTCAAGTGGTGACACAGTCTAGACACTGACCCAGGGCCTGGCACAGAGCTGCCCCATCTCAAACTCCTGGCATTGCCTCCCCTGGGGGTCTCCCCAGACACCGGGTGGGAGCCGGAAGGGGAAGGGGGCCTTACACTCCAGCACGAGGCCCGAGCACAGACGCCAGCCCAGGTACAGGCCGGGGGTGGCGGGTGGTCACCGGAGGAAGCGGAGGGCTCCTGAGGGGGGCAGGAGTACACTACCTGGCTGTGGGCAGGAGAGGCGGCCTCAGGGTCCAGCTACCAGCAGCAAGCAAAGGAGAGAGAGAGAAGAAGAGGGGTGAACACAAGCAGGTTGGCACGTCCCCTTCAGCAAGCACCCTAGGCCAAGTGGAGGTGAGAGAGACTCAGCACCGGGAGGTGGGGGGAGCTGGGGGGAGGCAGTCTAGGCAAGTGAACTGTACCCAGTCAAGGGGAAGCCAGACCAGGAAGGAGAGGCCCTGCTTGGTAAAAGGAAACACTTTGTACCATAAGATTCCTCAGAGATGTTCTGATAAGTCATTCCCTGTGACAGGAGAGTGCCTCTCTGCCTCAGGCCACAGTCTGTCCTGGGCTGGCCATTCAGTCCATTCTGAACTAGCCTCCTCTTCTGTGTGCCAGGAGGGGCCACCTCACCACAGCCAGGGCCTGGGCCCCCTGGGAGCCTCTGGCCTTATCTCCTGGGCACTTCCCAACCTGGCTTCCCTGTAGCCACTGGACCCCAGCACAGGCTGTCCCTGGCCTCCAAACACACACCCAAGGGTGCCACTCCCCATGCCAAGGGCAGCCCTTCAGAGCTGTTACGCCTACATATTTCATCAAACAAGCCCACCAGCAGCCCTAAATCCAGGACCCCTTCCTCAAGCCCCCCACTGCACACCTGCACCAGTCACCACCCCATGGCAAGCACAGGCATCACCCCACCCAGGGTCACCCACCCACTACCCAAGAACCAAGGGACTGTCGGCAGACCCTGTGGCCAGCCTTGACCTCTCTGTCTGGTTACTTAAAGGCCTTTCTGGGGAAGATGGGGAGTCAGCCACTCCCTCTTAGAAATGGGCAAGGAGTTAACAGGCCCCACCTGGGTCTGGAGAGCCAGGGCATCAAAAAAGGGGAGTGTCAGCTCTCTGCCTCACACCCACCAGGCCCTGGCACCAAGACATGTCCTCCAGAGCAAGAGACTGGCACCAGAGAAGGGGGCTGGATCTCCAGCCAAGAAGGGCCCCTCCCATGGGCTCCCTGGAGGAACAGGCCTCCCTGTGCTCAGACCCTTCACAGAGCCCTTCTCTCATGTTTCCAAGTAGGAAGCCCATATGAGGGCCCCCAGGCCACCAGGGAGCCACCCTTCTGTTGTCAGGTGCTCCTAGACACAGACACACACAGTCTGGCGACCAGCCCCAGCAAGAGGAGGACCAGGGACTGGGGAAACCACAGGTGAGAGGTGGCATTACAGAAGCTGTGAAGATCCTCTCAAGCCGCTGGTGGGCCTCCTCTGTAGGGGTCAGCCGGACCTCGGGGGCAGCTCCTGCCTAAAGGTCAAATCACTATTAGTCCCGGCCCAGGGAATGGTGGGGACACAGCATGCCAAGCTTCTAGCTCAGGAAGCCACTGGGACCCCATGGGTAAGTAGAGTAGGGTCAGGGAGGCAAGCCAAGTGAGAAAAAAACAGGTGCCTGGGGGTTCTAGGGTTATTTCTTCCCACCACCCCAGCACAGGATGGCCTTGTTCTCCCACACATCCTCTGGCCCCTGCCCTAGGCCCAGGTGACAGGGGGCTGAACTCCAGGTCAGGGCCCATCTCAGCCCAACTCCACCCTAGTGAGAGGCCAGAGGGAGGGCAGCTGGCCCAGGAACCAGCACATGACACTCTCTGGCTCCTTGAAGGTTCTTAGGGACTGGTGGTTCACCTCACAACCCTGCCTGTTGGGCCAAAATGCCTCTGCTAGCTCTTGTGTGCCAGGAGGTCACCTCCCTGATTCAGAGTGAGCTAGGAGGGTAGGGGAAGCCACCACCTGTTCCTTTTTGAGTTCTAAAAGCTCAGGAAGAATGGAATGGGGAGCAAGGAGGGTTCTGGGGCCTGAGGAATCCTAGAAGGTAGCAGTCAGAGAGGGCCTCTAGGGCCTGGGAGACAGGACAGGCCTTAAGGTGGTACCCTGCCCCCCATCCCCCTGACTGTCCCCTTCCAGCCAGAAGTAGCAGGCAAGAGCACAGAGAAGCAGTGGTGAAACCTGACGCATCCCACCCGCCTCACGCAACCCCATGAGGCCCCAGAAGGATCCACAAAAAGAGAAAGCCTGAAGAGAACAGTCCCCAACCTAAGGACCAGCCAAGCAGGCATCACCTTCCAAAGGAAAAGGCTGGACAGATCATCCTCGGCCCTCTCCTGTGCCTCTCAGCCTCCTGTCCAACCCAGAGGGCACTTTGTGGACAGGAGAGGCCCCAGATCTGAAGGGGGCCCACTGTGCCCATTTGCTACCCAGGCCCAGAGCTCCTCAAGAGTCCTGCCGCCAGAGGGGACTGCTGGGCAGGCCTAAGGAAGTAGCGATGGCAGTGATGGTACCAATAATTACTGTTATCAGCATCACTATCAATGAGACCATTTACTGGGCACCCACCAGGCCAGGGACTGGACTTGGAGCATTCATTCCCTATATCCTTTCTAATCTTCACAGCAACACTTCAAAGCACGGAGTATCTCTTATTTGCAATACCAAAATCCAAAAAGTCCTCCAAAACAAAAGAATTTTCTTGATTATTTTGGTGGCAAAAGCTGTTTATACTCTCTTCCTCCTGCGGCATGAACATTCCTAATTTCCTGTGGAAATATTCATGTGTTTGGTCACAGGTTGCTGCTCATTATGTCATTTGTATGACACTCTCAAATACAAAAATTACTAATTTACAAAGTACTTCTGGCCCCAAGGGCTTCAGAGGAGAGACTGTTAGACCTATGTTACCCCCATCTGACAGACGAAGGCTCAGAGATGCTAAGGTCTCACAGGAGTGAGTAGCGGGGATGGGATGCAAGCACAGGCCCCTGACCCCAGAAATTCTGTCCCTCTGCCCTCGCACTGATCTACTAAGACTCTGATCCTTAACTTGGGATCTGAAGCCTTAAGCTGACACTGTGCAGCTGGGGCCCAGGCCCCAACTCCCACGCAAAAGTGCAGAAGAGCAGCCACATGCTAGTTAACAGGCCCCCTGGGTTCCGGCGTTTGGAGAAGGAAGGCCATGCAGCGCTGCTGTCAGCACATGGCCCGGGCCCAGCTTCTCAGTCATGCAGGGTTTGCTGAAGAGCCTTGGTGAAGCCAGCTGCCAGGCGGCCAGCCCTCAGGAGAGGGCAGTGAAGGGAACGGGAGGTTAGTGACACACTCAGATACCTCCTGCTGCACATCAGGGACTGGTGACTTGTTCTGCCACAATCCTGTGAGGTTCGACTTTGGGCCAGCAGAGCCTGAGTCCGCGAGCTTTTCCGGTAGGGCTGGGGGACACTGCTTTCCTGGGGTTTCAGGCCTGGCTGGGGAGCCTGGCTTCTCTGAGGGGTCCACTGTCTCCGGGGAGACTGGTTTCCCCGAGGAACCTGGCTCCTGGCTGGAAGGCTTCTCCCCCTTTCCGGGAGACTGCCTGCCACGTGGCTTGTGGTCCTTGCACCTGCCCCGGGACATCAGGCTCCGCAGGCCCACGGAGAGCTCATCCTTGGCTGCCTCCTTCTTCGCTTCAGGCTTAGGTGGAGGAGGGGGAGCAGGAGGGGGCGGTGGCTTGGGACCAGGACCTGTCTTCTCGCCCCTCTTGCCTCGAGCCGGGTGTTCAGGGAACCTGACCCCTCTGCCCAGAGGCTCCTTGGCACTTCCAGGCTCCTCACCAGGCAGCACCTTGCTCACCACCTTTCTCACTGCATTCGCCACCCTCTTCCGGGACAAGCCCTGGGCCTCCTCGCTTGGGCCTTCTGCCGAAGCAGCCCCCGGGCCATTCATGGCGAGTGTGGACTCAGGGCTCTTGGTCCTCTGAGGAGTCTCTGAGGGGCTGGTGGGAGGCTGAGGACTCCTAGATGGGCCACTGCCGTCCTTTGAGCTGCCCTCTAGCTACAGTCACACAAACACAGGGAGACATTAGCATCAGCCCCTGTGGCCCTGTCCACCCCACACAGAGGTGTGCACTCATGCTCAGTCCTGGAACAGACCTTGCATTCATCCATCAAACAACACAGCTCCAAGAGGCTACCCAGGAAGCCCTCATTCCATCTTTCAAATAGGACAACTGCATCTGAGAGTCTGGCTTCTCTTTCCCACAAAGCACGGGCAGGTACTGCTGTCACCTGCTGTCTATCTCCAGGCTTAGCACAGAGCTGGGAGAGGCCAGCACAGAGAGCCCTGATGCCCACGAGGTGCCCCAGGGTTACTGGCTATCTCAGGACAGCAACCAAGCCAGGATCCAGGCAAGCCCCCTCCCTCACGGCCCAAACACAGCAGAGACAGAGCAGGGAGAGGTCAGACACGGATCCATACTATCAACCTTAGGCCTTACTCTGGGGCTTCCTGCCTTTGTGGTCCCTGATTCTTCTATCACCTGATTTTCTGGGCAGTCAGACCCAGAGCCTACCCATCCCAATGAAAACAATAGCCAGGAAGTAATTCTTGGCCCCGAAATATGCCAAATCTCCTGCCTCCTCACTGCTCTGGTCTGTGGCCACTATCTACCCCTCACTCACACTTTCAAGAGCTGCAGAAACCCAGTGCTGGCCCAGGGAGCCTCCACTTCAGCCTGCTTTCTGCCAGCTTCCTTGCAGTTTTCCTCATGCAAGCCTCTCAAGGGGTGGAGACCTCTTAGTTCCCAGAGTGTGCACATGAAATAATGGGAGGAAGAGGTGGCAGCTGCAGAACTTGAAGGGTTAAGCACTCAAGTGGCCACAGCACCACTCTACCTAGAGCTGGAGCCCTGGCTCCGCCCCCAGGCACCCAGGAGCCCACTACAGATGCTGGCACACTGGGCCTGGTAGGAACTGCTTGTAGTCCTAAGAGACCGCCACTGGCAGGCCAGGCTAGCTAACAGCAGGGCAGTTTCCTGCAAAGCCAGCCACATTGTCTGGGGGAGCAAGGTCAACCTGGGGGCTCCTTGCTTGTCAGGCAATGCCCTGCCACTAATGAGCTGTGCTTGAGTCCTCAGTCTCCAAAACAATGACCTTGGTTCTGGGGTATACCTGGGTACTGGACTCTGCAAGGGGCTGGCTGCCATCTCTGCTGAAATGCAGGAAGATGCTTACAG